AGGCTGGGATCACTTGACTCTGGCCTTCCAGGCACTAGGATTGAAGCAGGGCTAACGATCCTGTTTTAACCCTTGTTGCCTGATTTCCCTGACTAGCAAGGACAGCGATTTTTTTATTTTCTCGGTATGTTTTTAACTTCTGTATTATGGAACTGTACTATTTTATTGCCTGTGCTAGAATAACCTGTAGCTGGTTGTATGGATGTTTAAGCAGGTATAGCAGCCATAGGAATATTTTCTGCTGTAATGAAGATACAGTGCAAATCTGTTAACCGAGAAGACCATAGTGATTTGGCAGTGGCAGCATGACTTCTGTATGGAGGAGATGGCTCCATCCATAAGCTGTCAAACACTTGGTTTGATAGAGCCTGAGAAGTAGCTTTTCATCAAATTCCCCTTTTTGCTGCAACTTTTCTCTTAGCTTGCAGGCCAGGAATTGCCTACAGGTGGTACATGCACCTGGGTTTTGGAAGCAAAGACTGTTGCCTTCACTGGAATCTAGTTTTGCCCTTAGCATAGCAAGGTTATTGGTCTTTTGCCTGCTGTTGAACTTGAAACACAACTGACTTCTCATGTTGGCACACAGATATTGACATCTCAGACTCCACTTACCCACGTACTTTGTGCTGTGCAGGGTTGCGCTGTGTGCGCTGTTTTGGAAAGTACTCAGCTGGTCTAATAAAAGATATCACATCTAACCAAAGAAACTTGCCTGTTTTGGAAAGTAGGAATTTATAATGCTTTTGACCTGATTATAGAGGGTGCACATGGTACTTGGCAAGATGGTAAGCACCAGCCCAAAAAAATTGCAGTCTAAAGGAGACTGGGCATGAGGCATGGCAGCAAACAGGAGGAGAGGGCTACCGGAGATGCTTTGGATCTTGAGCATGTTTATCCTCTGTATTTTTTCACACTTAATGTTCATGGGCTGTGTCTTGGAGGGTGTGTGTTGTGAGGATCAGCTTAGCACTTTTCATCTTCCTGGTATTTTAATGGTTTCTCATTAATCACTCAAGTTCCCTGTAAGGTATTTCCTTATTTGATAGATGGGGCAGGGAATGGGCAAGAAACTCCTCTTCTTGGTGCTTCAAGGTGTGGGTTTGTAGCAGGGTCTTGACCTAACCCCCAGTCTGTACTGCCTCCCCCTTCAGCTTACAAGGAAGAGATTAGGGAAGTGATTTCCACCCCAGCCCCTTGTCACAGCAGTGACCAGTTCCACAGAGTTGAGCATAAAGGAGGGCAGAATTTGGATTTTCCAAAGGTGGAAATTAGTGTATGGGATAATTGGTTGCACTGAGTTGATTAAAGCCTTTATACAAGTTATACTGGCTAACAGGATTATTTGCTTTGACAAGACTAATTACTTAGGCACTCATCCTCATCACTGCCGTGTGCAGGAGACATAATCATGGGGTGCCTTTGGTTTTGCTGTGGCCTTCAGTGCGAGTGCAGGCTGTGGGGTGGCCTCTGAAATGTTTGATCCTCTTCTGTTGCAGCTTAGGTCCCTGATTTCTCAACACATGAGCTTTGTCTCTGGCTTAGCAGTCTGTAGGAAGTATGGTCAGCAGAACACGTATCCTACTACATTATTTGTTTCCCCACACAGTGGGGAGGTCCAGCGGCATGTCTCTAGCCGTAGTTTGGGCTGTTCACTCTCTAGAGCAGATTGTCCTTGGTACATGCTGTGCCTGCTGTAGAATGGAGGAGAAACCAGCAAAGCAGAGAAGACTTTGGACTTCTTACCCCATCCAGCCCTATCTGAGAGTTAACAGTCATAGGAAGCCAAAAGCAAAACTTACATAAAAGTTCCTGGCTGTTCGCATCAGCGTTTCCTCATGCTTCATCTTGCATAACTGCTCACTAGGGCTACTGGGAAATGGCAAGGGAGAACGTGCCAGAAGCTGTTGGTGGATTGCCGCTGAACTGCGGATGGGCACTGTCTCTCTTGTGGTCACATACCATTTTCATTTAACATGCCGTCCTCAGTTCTGTGATCGGACTTTTCTTAGTAACCACCGAACCAGGTGGCTGGGGAGCTGCTGGGCATCTTGGAGGCTTGGGAATGCCATGGCACAGAGGATTAGTTTTGCAAAATAATTCCTCGTTCATCTTAAATTTTCTTTTTCCCCACCTTACAAATCATTTGACTTCAAAGTTTGTTCCCTTTTTGACAAGGGCCAGGTGGTGGATGCTTGGACAACTTCTGAGCTTGGAGAAGTAACTGGAAATTGTCAGTCTGTTATTGCAAGGCACTTTACCCCCAGTTATCCAGAGTACTGGGAGCTGCACGTGGATATGGGCTCACTGTTTCAGTGGGTCCTGTCCTCTGGGCTTCCATCAGACAACCCTATGGTGCGTCACACGTGCAGCTTCCCTATCTATCCTGCCACAGTTGAAGTGGCACCGACAGGACTAAACTCCATGGAAGAGTAAAGTCTCAAAATGTTGCATTGCATAAAAATTGCTGTTGATAGGCAGGTGGCCACTTTACTTGCCTGCCTTGCTCATTGAAATAACAGAGCAAAAATTATTTCCAAATTCCTGTTGGGTATGTGGGTCCTTGGTTACATCTCTGATTGTGCGCTCCTTGAGGAAGGGACAGGGCATGTGCTGAAGCTTGCAGGACATGTTGCTGGCTCTTAGCAAACTGTATATAATAAGTAGGACAGAACTTTAAAAGCTGCGTGTAATACAGTGCCACATTATTTCAGTCGCCAAGTCTGGGACCAAGTCTGCTTTCATCATACCTCGTCCTTTTCTCCTGCTGTCCTACATTCTGCATTATTTAAAAATCAGAGTTTTGCTCCAGAGAATCTCTTGTGCTGTCTTGCTGCCTTTCTGTCTGCCCCTTGGGTTTCTAACCTAAGTAGCTGCGGTATTTGCATTTAAAAGAGCTCAGTTACATTACTGTTAGTTGCTGTAGTATTTGACCTGCAATCCCTGTTAAATTCAGCACAGTTTTTTGGGTTTTTTTACATGCAGAACGTCTTTCCGTCCTGAGCACTAGGAACATGAGCTTCATTTGCATATTGATGTAATTTATCTTTCTTATTCGGATCAGAGTTGAGAGCAAATTCATTTTTCACCGTGTGACTTGACCCAGGCAGTTCCCTTATCTGTGGGTGCAATTGTGTACCATGCCTCTTGGAAGTGCAGCACACGCAGACGCAGCCTGGGCCTATAAGCCACCTTTGGGCTCTTTGGACCCTGTGTTGTTCCAGGCACCACTTAAAAATTTGTCCCTTTATATACTTATGGCAGGGATGGCCCCCCGGACCCCCTGGGGGGGGGGGTCTTTT